AGGGGAAAATAATCACTTTCATATCAGGACTCGGCAGGAAGCGGCCAGGCCCCAGAACCCTCCGGCTTCGCCACAAATTCACAGCATTTTAATGAATACAGCTCTTAAAGCAATAAACACAAACACAGACAGACTTTACAGGACGCCTGAACACTCAGCAGATATTAATACTGACAGATCTAACGCACAGGCACATATGTACACACACAGGCACATGCACACACACAAATACACACACACAGACACGTACATACACACACACACACACACACACAGACAGACTGGATAACACGCCTAAATAATCAGCAGATATTAATGCTAACAGATCTTACACGAGCACATATGTGTGCACACACACACAGACACACACACACACACACAGACAAAGCCATTCTTTTTTAAAGTAACTTTATTTATCAAAATGTTACATTATATAAATATTTGATACATTTTTTTGTTTGGGTTGTACTGTATACGACGAGAGAGAGAGAGAGAGAGAGAGAGGATTTCTGTGTTATTTTTAATATATACAATATGTCCAGACAGGTAATAATAACCATGTAAATATAACAATTAAACAGCTTGATATTTTGTTTGTATATATACTGTATATGGCTCAGTTTCTCAAAACGGGGGTGTTTTAGTGAATAGCAAAATCGTGTCTTTGTATCTGAACCCGGTTCGGGTTCGGGTTTTGTTTCATTAAAATTAAAATTAATGATTAAAACAAAAAAAAGAAGGAAAAAAAAACACCTAAAGACACATATATCCACCTGCAAAGGAAAGAAACAACAAACAAACAAACAAACAAAAAAACAATACAATCTTTGTGTAATGAGCTATAGGACAAGGTATTTCTGTGTGTCTGCTGTGTTGTGATGATGTCCGCTTTGGAGAGGGATAATGGTTAGTTATCCCGAGGCTGACCCGAGTCAGTCCATGTTCACAACTTCGCACTCTGTCATGTGCTCTCCGGGGCAACTGGCCTTCACTGGCTCTGGAGAGTCCGGCTTATCCCGGCTCAGCTCGCCTTGGCTGTCTGCGACCACAGGCTTTTGGTTGGGCTCGGGATACTGGGGATCGGGTTGGTTCGGGTTAGGCTGGGGGTAGCCGCTTGTGGCTTGTGCCGGTGCCGGTGCCGGTGCCGGTGCCTGTGCCTGTGCCGGTACGGGTGCTGGTTGGGGAGGCGTCGCGGGCTGAGCCGGGCTGGAGTCTGTCCCGGGACAAGCGGTTTGCGTTGAGTTTGAGTGCGTCCCGGGATAGGCGGTGTTGTGGTGGTGGTGCTGGTGGTGGGCCGGCTCTGTGGCTGGGCTGGCTGGCGGGAGCGTGGTGGTGGCTGCTGCGGACGAGGTTGGGGGTTGGTTGGGTTGGGTGAGTTGGGCGGGTGAGGTCCTGATGCTGGATTGGGGGACAATGAAGCCGAGAGGCTGTGTGATGGGGTACAAGAGGAAATGTCCTTTGCCAATGACCGCTCTGGGGTTGGGTAAGGTCGGGAAGTCGAAGTGGACCTTCCTGCGCGGCGTGGAGTCTGACAGGAGGCTCTCCACGCTGAACGGGTTGGTTTTCTGCTCGCACTTGGGCAAGTTGGAGGCGCTCCTGTTGGGACACGAGTGGTGGCTGTGGTCGTGGAGCGGGTTCTCCGCCTCGCAGTCGGCGTCCGATGGGTGGGCATCGCTCTGGAGGGGCGGGGGGCCACCGTCCCCGTTTCTTTGGTGTGGTGGGGGCGGCTTCGGGCCGCTGGGGGGCTCACAGTCGCCTTGGCTCGGGTCCCTTTGGCCGGGCGAGGGCGAGGGCGAGCGCTGTTGGCCGGGCTCAGCCCGGATGGTGAGCTCTCGACATTGAGGGAACTTCATTTGGCTGCTGTCAGACTCTGACCCCGAGGACATCAAGGAGTAGTCCCCCGCCTGGTCCCCGTGGAGGAGTTTGCTTTGGGATTTGAGCAGTTTCTTCTCCTGTTTCCTCTTCTTCTTCTCCAGTTTCTCCATCTCTCGCCGGGCTATCTCGTCCGGGTCCATGGGTTCCCCGCTGCAGGTGGTGGGGTGGGAGTTGTGTGCCGGGCGACCCGGTCCCTTCTTGGTGTTCTCTTTCTTTCGCCATTTGGCTCTGCGGTTTTGGAACCAGACCTACAACACCGGACAATCAACATACAATGTATTATAAGCGGAATTTCACTCCCCCAACACCCCTCTCTCTCTCTCTCTGTCTCTCTCTCTGTCTCTCTCTCACACACACACACCAAAAAAAAATCACGATTTGTCCCTTTAAATTTCTCCATTCTCCATTCCCAAACACCGCCAATGTTTTCCTGATCGAACTGAGGGATCAATCATCTCATATCTTCGATTCAGTCGATGCGTTTTCGTTCCAAGAGCCTATCTGGGTCGTGTTCATTTTTTTAAATATAAACCTATATATATGTATATATATTTATATATCGTGAGAAGTACCAATTATTTGTTAAAAGGGTGGAATATTTTTGCTGCTTTCGCGAAGTATAACCTATTTTGTTTCGGTTTTCTCTGGTATTGATATCAAGTCTCTCTCTCTCTCGTTCGCTTCTTCGATTCAAGTATTAGCAAAAAATAACTAAGGATTTTTTTTCACAAAAGTCGATTTTTTAAAAAAAATTCCCACCTTAAAAATACTGTTATTTATTTTACAAAAAGAAATTTATTTTCCGAATCATTCCCACATCGAAAAAATATATATTTCTGAACATGACACTGTGTGCGTGTGTGTGTGTGTGTGTGTGTGTGAGAGAGAGAGAGAGAGAGAGAAGGGGGTGATTTTTGTGACAATGTAAAAAAAAGTGGATAATAAAAGTTATTTCAAAGATATATATAATTAGATATAAATGAAATAAACAGTATAGAGGTTATACAGGAACTGCGTCCGGTGTGTTAGGGCAGGGGACAAATTTAAGAGGGATGTTTTCTCTCTCTTCCCTCCCCCCCTCTCCCTCTCTCTCTCTCTCTGTCTTTCTCTTGTAGTAAGTAACATCCTGTTTACACAATCAACAACAAGACCTGAATTAGGTTAATTGGCAAACGAATTGCATTTAATCTCGCGTGTAATTCTATCAATTAAATCGATGCTTCGCCATTTCAACTGAAAAGCAGTTAGTTTCTCTTTTTTTTAAGCAGAGTCAGGAGGGGTGGAGAGTTTAGGATTATTTTTACACACATACACACTCACATGGACTCACTCTCCCCCCCCCCCCCCCACCACCCTCCCCCCAAAAAAAAATCTGTCCTAATCCCAAAGAGGGAGGGAGGGATGAGCACAGACACATTACAATCTGAACCACAGTTATAGTGAAGAGGTTATTCAATTGACAACAACAACAATAATAATAAGATTCAGGTGACTGGTGGGTGGGGTGGGGTGGGGGGCGGTTGAGTGGGAGGGGGAAATAAGACAGAAATAAAGAGTTCCTCCCTAACAAGACAGAGCGTGCCATTAGCGTGAACTTTCACACTTTTCACACTGTTTCCATTCCAAACTGGTCCATGTGTAGGACATGTTCAATAAAGTGATGCATTCTCCCGGACTAAGCCACATTTTGCCACTGTTATATATTTGACCAGACTCACACACAGCTACATATACACATAGAGGTACACACACATATATATAATATATAGAGAGAGATACACACACATATATATATACATATATGTACACACATATACATTCACACATAGATACACACACACACATAGATACCTGCAGACATGTAGGTATACACACACATTCACCCTCAAATACGTGCATACACACACATATATATACGCACATAAAAATATAATCTAAATATAGCATTCATTTTAAATGCATAGTCAAAAGCCAAAGATTTAAGACAATATTAAGATTTAAACAGCAGGCTTGTTCGCCCTCGGCTCTCTCTCTCTCCCTCTTTCTCTATCCTGCCCCCTTATTAAACACAAATTAAACTGGCCAATAATCGGTTCACAAGGAGTTTTCTTTGTGTCGGTTCCAGCTGTTCTGTCAATGAGAAGTGCTCATTATCGTCTTAAGGGAAATAAACATTCTCGACTTCATCTAAACCTCACTTAACGACCCATCAACAAATTGGATAAAGTGCTTAGGAACAGGGAGGGTCAGAAGTGTGAGCTTTTTTTAAACTGCAATTTTTGAACCTGTGTCATAATCCCTTTACTCCTGGTCTGTGATTAGAGTCTCCATTTATACACATTTATATAAGTGTGTGTCTAAATGGGAACTCTTAATATACATATTTCAATTTAATTTTTTTTTTAAAAAAGTTACTTTATACACACTTGCAAATATTCGTTTTCTCTGTCGCCAACTTCTTCTACACCACACGGTAAATCTCCAATCACACGAAATATCGTATTATTTTCAACAACAAAAAATGAATTCCCCCTCCAGGTTGTTTGCAAGTTATTTTTGTGTGAGTATTTGTGCTAATTGTAGGATTCGTTCTTATTTCTCTTACGAATATATACGTTACATTGAAATATATATATATATATACATACATATATTGTTTCTGTGACTCTCGACTGAAATACTAGTCAGGTTGTTCTTTTTTATATATAATAAAAACATGTAATTTACGCAAGGCAAGTTTTTCAGAAAAAAAAACATTGTTAACAGCACACAGGCATTTAGTGCATATCTCACTTAAAACAGGAGCTGATTTTCTACCCCTTTTTTCTCTCTCGCCATCATGTGAACATGCGGCCTTTTACATTTGCACACAGACATTTGACTACATACATATATATATGTATTTAAATTAAAATAACGCGCACATTTCTCACCAATCGTTCTCCACCGACGCGAAATGAAAACCTGCATTGTTTTAACTGAAGTTTTTAAACTCCATCTCGCGTTTGTACTCGTATTGTTGTGTGTGTTTTACAATTACAAAGCAATTCGCGGTTTGACAATATACTGAGAATCATAGAAACACAATCAACTGGGCTGCAAATAAGTCAATAAAGAAAGAAAGA